GTGGCTGTACATTCCACAAGACAGTGTACTTTGGGTCTACAAATGTCTGCACAAAGTACACATGTTCTCGTAAAACAGCTTTTTAAAAAAAGAGGAAACAGTAGCTTGTGTTTGTTGTTAAAAGCTATAACTGACAACATGCTGATTTCCTTTTTCATATATTTTGCTTAAAGCTTAAAGTGAAAGAAGGGATTACATGGAATCTAATTCTGGAGACCTAAGTCGAGTTTCTCCCCACATTTCCTCTGATCCTCAGGCTGGGTTAGTTGCTTCTGCTGGGTTCCCATGTATCCTGTGCTTCCCTCTGCCCACTGGCTGCTCAGTATTCTGAAAAAGGTATTGATAGTCTGAGATTATAAAAACAATCCACTGTATTGCTGTTTACTCCCCACAGACTAAATCCTCAGGGATATAAACTGTGCTGTGCTCCCGATAGTCAGTCACATAGGGTCTGGTAGACCGGAGGCCTTGAGTAATGCTTGATGGATGAATGGACGAATGATCTAGTGCTAAATACCTGGTATTAATAAGTCTGGGGGCCCTGGGACTCTGGAATGAACCTTGGACAGTTATGTGGCTCCCAAGTCATAATCCTTAATCTTGTACTTCTTGATTCTGACCTGTTCCCCTGCCTGGAATGTTATCCGCCAGAGATGTGGAGTTCCTGAGCTGCTCCTGCAGGCCTCCTTTCCTGGTCAGAGGCCTGGCTCCCTTCCCCTGCTTGAAGTCTGGAGATCCTGCCTATATATAGGTTGATCTTACCCTCTCCCCAATATTGAGTCTTATATGGATTTCCCATCCCACGCCCTGTCAGAATCACTAGGCTCTCTGATGTCAGTCATTTCTGGGATGAAGTGGGACTAGCAGGAGGAAAGATGAGGGTCAGCCTTCTATTTCTGACATCAACCTTAGGTACTCTTTTGTGACACAGAGGCTAAAGAATCTTGATTCGATGGCTCCCACTGCAGGTATCAGCTGACTTTGCCATCCCCAACAGTTTCGTCTGGCTCCTTCATTTAGCAAATACTCTGGTTGATTGGTTGGTCCAGTTTCTGGAGAACTGCTCTTGTTCTTAACATTGAAGTTAAGCTTCATCCTTGAGGAACATGGAGTGAATTGTTTTTTGTTTTTGTTTTTTTAAGAAGCAGCATTTAAGGTATAGTTAGGAATGGTGATACTTTTACCTTTTGGAGATTTGCCTTTTACATTTCAAATAGGGAAAACATTACAGATGTCTAGAATAAGTAGATGAATTAATTTTACATTGCTAAATGTCCCATTTAAAAAAAAATGTTTATTTTTTGGTGATAAAAATGACATGGACTCTTATAAAAGTTCAAACATCTAGGAGGTAAAAAAAGAGAGAATAAAAATCAGCTAACTGCTTTCCCCTAAAGCCAAGGACAGTATTTGAGCATGGGCTTTGGGCACGCCTGAGCATAAACTCATGGCCTGCCACCACTTACTACCCTTATGATTTGGGGCAAATTACTTAACCTTTATGAGCTCCAGTTTCCTCATCTGTAAAACAGGGATAATAGAAGGCCAGTAATAATATTTAGTTACTTTACAGAATTGTTTTGAAGGTTAAGTAAGAATATTCAAGCAAAAGGCGTAGCATGGTGCTTGTGCACTTTACACACTCAATGAATAAGTAAGAGTGAACAATATTTCAGGACTCCTTGTTTGTTTGTTTTTGTTTGTTTTAAATACTCACCTGAGGATATTTTTCCATTGCTTTTCAGAGAGTGGAAGGGAGAGAGAGAGAGAGAGAGAGAGAGAGAGAGAGAGAGAGATTGAGAGAGGAAGAGAGAAACATCGATGGGAGAGAGACACATCATTCGGTTGCCTCCCGCATGTGCCCCGACCCGGGCGGGGGATCAAGCCTGCAACTGAGATACATGCCCTTGGTCTATGGGCTGACGCTCCAACCACTGAGCCAAAACGGCCAGGGCTCTCCTTGTTTCTTAATCCAGTGTTTCCCTCCTCAAATCTCACTTCCTTCAGTGTAATTGAACTTAGGTCAACAAACATTTACTGAGAACCTATTAGATGCTCCTGTGGTAGTTGTTATTATATTAGAATGAGGCCAGTTCTAAAACCCTACTTAGTTATTAGTTTAAGAAAACCTTGTCTTGGAACCTATATGGAATCATTTCCTATTGACTCTTATCACTAACATAAAATTGATTAAATATGAGTCCTTTTTGGTGAAGGAATAATAGAATTTAACAGGATTGTTTGAGTATCAAATGAATCATTCTAAGAAGGCACCCACAACATGGTAGATGCTCAGTTATTCTCACCCCAGCAATGCACAAGACTTTCACACCTGTGGTTTATGGGAGTGAAAGTACAGAGTGGTCCTCTTTTCTGGTTTCAGGCATTATCTAGATAAAACACTAATCTTCTGGACACAGTCCTAGGATTGTTTACTATCATTTGGTTCCCTTCTTAAACCTTACCAAAGATCTATCCTTCCTAACTTTCTTTCCCCTTGTCTTCCCACTCCTCCCCTCACCCTCCAGCAACTGCCCTGACAACTTCCAAGATTAATTCCTGTTTTGCCTCAAGAGTCTGATCCCACATCCTGTAGATATTCAGTATACACCATTTGTTACTTGGCTTCCATTGAAAGCAATTCTCATTTTACTGATGGTCTCAAAGTTCTACAGTAAAATGTTCTAGAGTTCACTGTACTTATTATTGGTTTCCCTACATGCAGTTATAAACTAATTATGAGACAGAAAAACACAATGTTTAAGATCATGGATGCTGGAGTCAGACTGCTTGGGTTGTAATTCTGGCTCTGCCAGTTATTTTGTGATCTTGGCCAAATTACTTAACCTCTCTATGCTAATGTTTACTTACCTTGAAAAAGGGGATAACAGCCTTATTTTCTAGGGTTCTTATGGAGATTAGATGGGTTAATATCTGTAAAGCACTTGGAACAGAGCTGACATATTGTTAGTGGTAGATAAGTGTTAGTTATGCAATAGTTATAATTTATAGAGCACTTAGCTATCTGCCAGGTACAGAACATATTACTTTCAATCCCCTCAATCATGCAAAGTGGATATTATTTGTAGTGATGTGTAAGAGCTGGCCTGTACCTGTTTATGAGAGTTGGATTTCAGCGTTTCGGAAAGTTTGCAAGTGAGTTGTTAAACAGAGCCATTATTAAAAATTATATAAATTTACAGTTAGATAAATTATATTAAAAACTAAGATAACAAATATTCAAATCTCATCACTTCCTAATTATTTTACTAAATTGTACTTTTAAAAGTTATTTTTTTCAATTACAGTTGAGATTCAATATTATATTAGTTTCAGGTATACATTTAGACATTTATATAATTTATGAAGTGATCCCCCAATAAGTCTAGTACCCACCTGCACCATACATAGTTATCACAATATTATTGACTATATTCCCTGTGCTGTACTTTGCATCCCCATGTTTATTGTACTCATATGGTGGAAATATGATGTGATGTTGTGCATCTTTACCTAACTGCATTCTGTGACATCAATATCAGTAGCTTGAAATCTGCTGTGGTGGGAGTATTTACACCATGGAAGTTGGTGTCCACTACAAATCAGGGCTTTTAAAATTTGGCTAATTGAATATTAAACTTTTGTCAATACACCACTATATATTATTGTTCCTTCTTTAAAGGGACATTTTTTCTCGTCCCAGTCTAGTCCCACTACTCAACCCAGACTTGGACATGCCTTTGATAATTTATCTTAATTTGACGATGCCATTATTGTCTTGCCTGGGCTCCATTTTTGCCCCTTTTTCCTTCTTCCCAGAATCTCTTTTTTTTTTGTGTCCAGGGTTAAAATTAGCCCATTCTTTCTAACAGGTTTTGCTGACTCTAAAAAGAAAACCAAATCACTAGGTTCTCTCAATTTTTACTACTATTATCCTATTTTAAGCCACTACCGTCCCTCACTTAAATATCTTCACAAGAATGTAAGCTACATGTGAACAAGCTCCCTGTATTACTGATCACAACTGTATGCCTAGCACCCCACTACCCAGAACAGTGCCTGGCTCTTAAGCTTTTGCTAATGAATACATGTTGCAACAAATTTTGAAGTGGGCACCATTATTATTTCCATCTTATAGATGGGGAAATAGGCTTGTGATGGTTAAATAACTTACTTAAGGTCATAACAACAGATTCAAAACCAGAATTCAATTCCAGGGCCTAATTCTAGAGCCTGCTCGATTATCCACTATGCAGCCTTATTGAACCACACTGGCTTATGCTGCAGTCAATCATCAAGGGATTTTGGGCCGATGTTAAGAGGTATTTTAGTTGAAATTCTCCAACCTGAAAGCTTCCCTTTAGAATAAAGTCCCTGTGCCCGTTCACACCGCCTTCCAGGCTTCTCCTAAGTCTCCTCTCTCCTCACTGGCCTCTTCACCCAGCAGTTCAGTCCTAATGAATTCTTTTCTCTTCCCAGCAAATGCTCCTGCCTCTATGGAACCACCGCCCCCTCCTACCCCTTCTTGAAAACCGTCCCTAATTTCTCAATTCTGAGGGATTATAACAAGCAGTACTTTATCCCAGCTGGCATCACTCTACTAAAATTACTTATTTCTTTATTGCCCGCTGCTGTGTCCCCAGTGCCTAAGAAGTGCCTGGAATAGACTAAGTACTTGATAAATGTTTGTTTAATAAAGATATGAAAGGTCAAGGGTTATTTTATCAATTTATAGGTGGGGAGACTGCGGCTTCTAGAGGTCAGGTATTTTGCCCGGGGTCAGTCCCTAAGGGGCCGAGGTAAGATTTGAAACCAGGGCTCCGCGCACAGCGCCGCCAGACCGCGCCCGCTCTCCCAGTTCCTCTCTTCCGCCCGCTCCCACAGCCCCGCCCACTTCGGCCTGCGCCGTCTCTGAGACTAGTTTGACCCTCGCACGGCCGCCGTAGCGCGTCGCCGCCGTTGCCGTGGGAAACGACCCGGGACCTGGGTGGAGGAGGAAAGACGTTTCCCGCCGGCGGGAGCTGGGGTTGTGACGGCGTGGGGAGCCTAGAGGCTGCGGGGCCCAGCGCCGCAGCACCATGGCGGACCAGCTTTATCTGGAAAATATAGACGAGTTCGTCATGGACCAGAACAAGATTGTGAGGAGCTAGGACTGGGGAACGCCGGGCGTCCTGGGCCCGGCGAGGGCGGCGGGGTCCTTGACCCCTCTGCGTGTGGTCTAGTAGGGACTGGACGAGGGAGACAGGTCCCCACGCCTCGTACCCCAAGGGAGAGGTCTTCTGGTGCGCCCGCCAAGTCCCTGTCCCTCGGGTGGGCGTGTGGGCACTGTGCACCGACTAGGGGCCGCGGAGGGAGGATATTGGTTGTTAATATTTCTAAGGCATCTCTACACCGGTCTGATAAGGTGGTGGGCGTTTAAAGCTCCAAATTTACTGTTGAGGAAATTGTAACCGGGTTCAAGTGACAAGTTGTTTAACCTTCCAACACTCGGTTTCCTCTTACCGGAAATTTGGTATTGGTACAGGCTTGAGTTGCCTCACTAGGATGGAATATAGATCAAGTGAGACAATGGACGTGAATGCACTTTGCAAATCGTGATGATTGCCTGCTGTGACCTTTGGATACACATTATTTCATTTACTCCTTGCAGTGACACACCTTGAGGTCGGCAGATAAGGCAGTTGAAGCAGACGGAGGGGCCAGATAACATTTGTGGTTAGAAAGGGATAGGCAGTTTTCCAATCTAGGTCTGTCTCTCTTGCTAATGTTTTCTTTCTTATACATTACTGTCTTTGCCTAACCTCTGTAACACTTCTAATTATTGGAAACTCAGCGTTTAGGACTGGAAGACTTTGAGAGAGTGCCAGGAGAGTTCAAGGAAGGATGGAAGGAACGTCTAGTCTTGAGGCCAGGAGTTCCCAATCTAACCTAAGATACAGCATTCATCCGCCTCATTCATTCCCTGACCCTGCAGCACCTGTGCCCTTTAATGTTTGTTTATAAGGCTGCAACTTTCCTTAGAAGTTTTTCTGAGTTATACACTTAAAAGTAATGTAGCTTCTGGGTGAGTTTTAGTATAGTTTTCCGTGGTGGTCCTCAAAAAGGACAGAATGTGAAAAAAGGGCCTTTCATAAAACAAGGAGTGGGAGGAAAATGAGAGCTTTTTCTTTAGTGTATACCCAGCCGTCCTTTTTATAGATCCTTTGCATTAATTGGTCTGTGAAACAAACTTCTTAATATTTGTAAGATAAATATATCAGTCCTGCCTGCCCAGACGGATGGTTCTTGGCAAAAGTGGAGTGGCATCTATTATAATTTATAAGGCATAATCATCTAAGACTGGGAATCTTTAGGAGCCCTTAGAACTGATCTGCACTCTGGAGTTATCTAATAAAACGTTAAAAAAAATTCCTTCTTTTTGCAGGTGACATACAAATGGCTGAGCTATACACTAGGAGTTCATGTTAACCAGGCCAAACAGTAAGTCCAGTTTACTACTAATTTTAATCACATTGGAGTTTTTTGTTTGTTGTTTTGCTTTTGTTTATAGCCTTATAGATAGATTCTAGGTCAGAACTTTTTTTTTCTGGGAAATGGGAAAGAATACAATTTTTACTAGTTTTGTCTATTATTTAGGAGATAGGTTAGACTTGTATACAAATGTGTAGTACACTTACTGTAATACATTTACTGGATTTATTTGTAGTCTTGTCTTCTGGTTAACATCACTTTGTTATTTCAGATTTATTAAATGGGCTAGCCAATTCTGTTTACATCTCAGATTTATATGTCTGTTATCTTACATCTTCATTAAACTTCACACATGTTCCTTAGGCCCATCTCTGGGTGTTGTTGAAATACCTCCAGAATGAGATCAACAGGTGTTTGACACAAGCTGTATAACAGTATAAGACAGGGGAGAACTTTTTAAGCAAAACTAAAACAGAAATGTTTAGGGTGGTGCAGAGCATTGCACTTCTTGAATTTTGCCATATCACCTTTCCTTGCTGAAAAGGAAAAAAGCAAGCTTAAATTTCTTGACCTGCAAATGTGCCGATGTTGTCTGTGTCCCAAGTGGAAGAATGGGTGAACAGGCTGAGGACACATATATTGAGTTAAATACTCATTTAGTTTATTTTATTCCTAAAGGTGGTCTGATTTTTTTCCTGTTCCTTGAGTCACAGGAACTTTCTTAAGTGGTAGGAATGTTCCATCAGCCTTGGAAATTCCCTCTTCTTTAGAGTGGGTTGATTTGGCTTTGTTGCTGTTTGACAGTTCTAGGAGTCTGATTTTGACTGTACGTTTATGCCTTCCTGACTTAAACTCTTGGCCCAGGGCTGATTTTGACTAAGATTGCTGTTGTGTCCTGGCTCAGTTAATTAGGCATTGTCCCGTATACCGAAAGGTTCCTGGTTTGATTCCTGGCTAGGGCACATGCCTGGGTTGTGGGCTCAAATCCCCGATAGGCAGGAGGTGTGCATGAGGCAGCGGATCGATGTTTCGCTCTCACATCGATGTTTCTCTCTCTCCCTCTCCCTTCTTCTTGCTCTAAAAATCAATTTAAAAAAATCCTTAAGAAAAAAAGGTTGCTGTTTTAAGACCAGTCCTGTCCCAAACCAAGAGGTTCAGGTAATTTTGGGAATGGACACCTGTAAGAGTTATTATTTGTTGTCATTATAGGTGTTAAAATGTGAAATAAGGTAACTATTATTATATAAGCTTGTTGGGGTTTAAAGGTGCATATTGGAGATTAAATAAAATTGCCTGCAATTTTATTGTAGCTCTCCTATTACCTATAAGTTTTATAGAATTAACAGACTATCTTACTCCTGCCTCTCTACCATCTTCATCCCACACCACTCTCTACCTCTTATACTCCAGACATATTTGCCTTTCTGTTCCTCAAATATGCCAAGCCCATTCTCACCCTAGGACATTTGCACCACTCCCTCTGCCTGGAATGCTGTTCTCCCAGCTGTTGTCATCCCTCAGGTTTCCACTCAAATTTCACACATTACAAGACTTCGAACAGCCTTCCCCTAATGCTCTATTTCAGGTATTGTCAACCCTCCCTAACTGTGTCATATGTATTTCTTTCATATTTAAAAACAACACAAACTTTATTGAGATAGAATTCACATTCCATACAGCTTACCCACTGAAAATGTATAATTTAAAGGTTTTTAGTATATCCAAAGAATTGTGCAGCCATAGCTACAATTAATTTTAGAACATTTTCATCAGCCCCAAAAGGAACCCTGTATCCTCCCACAATCCTGCCTCATCTTCCCCTAGCGCTAGGCAACTACTAATATATTCTCTGTCTGTAGATTTGCTAATTCTGAACATTTCATATAAATGGAATCATGTAATATGTAAACTTCTGTACCTGGTTTCTCTCACTTAGCATAATGTTTTCAAGGTTTGACCATGTTGTAGCATGTATTAGGATAATAAGTGCTCACTTAACATCATCTTGAAACGGCTTCTAATGAAACCAATTTCACCATAGGCTAACTGATACAGTAAACGAGTTAAGTTCCTACAGTATCTCATCAATATTGCAGTGGTACCTCGGTTTTCGAATGTCTCCACTGACGAACATTTTGGTTTAGGAATGCCATAAACCCGGAAGGAAATGCTTCGGTTTTCGAACATGCCTCGGAAGTCGATCATGCCACGCGGCTTCCGCTGAGGGCAAGATCCTGAGGCCTAGCTGTCGGCTGTTGAGACCTCAGTTTTCGAACATTTCAGAACTCAGTCTTCCAGAACGGATTATATTAGAAAACCGAGGTACCACTGTATAATGAAATGACCTTATTTGAGGAACTGGTTTACTGCATTCCTTTTTATAGCTGAATTATTCCATTATATGGTGTTATTCATTTCTTAGGGCTGCCATAACAAAGTACTGCAAACTTGGTGGTTTAAAATCACAGAAGTATATTATTTCACAGCTCTGGAGGCTAGAAGTCCAAAATTAAGGTGTCAACAGGGCCACACTCCCTCTGAAACCTGTAGAGCCTGTAGAGAAGAATCCTCCTTTGCCTCTTCTAGCTTTTGGTGGTTTGCTGGCAATCTTTGGCATTCCTTGGTTGCATGATCCCAGTCTCTGCCTTTGTTGTCACCTGGCATTTGTTGTCCCTCTGTGTCTCTTTCTTCACATGGCCATTTTATAAAGATACCAGTTATACTGGATTAGGAGCCCACCCTCCTCCAGTATGACCTCATCTTAACTGGTTATATGTGCAAAGATCCCATTTCCAAGTAAGGTCACATCCTGAAGTACTGGTGGTTAGGACGTCAACATATATTTTGGCGGGGACACAATTCAACCAAGAACATATGGATAAACCATATTTTGTTTATCCTTTCATCAGCTGATGAACATTTAGGTTGCTTCCACATTTGGGTGTTATAAACAATGCGACTATCAACATTTAGTATAAGTTTTTGTGCAGACAAGTATTCTCAATTTTCCTGAGTATATACTAGGATTGGAATTCTATATTTAACATTTTGAAGTATGGACGAACTGTTTTCAAAGTAGCCGTGCTATTTTACAATCCCACCAGCAATGTTTGAGGGTTCCAACTTCTCCATACTCTTTTCAACTCTTGATTATCTGTCTTTTTTTATTTTAGCCATCCTAATGGGTGTGAAGTGGTTTCAATTTGCAATTCCCTAATGACTAATGGTGTTAATTATCTGTTCATGTTCTGTTTGGCCATCTGTACATCTTCTTTGGAGAAATACTTATTCCAATCCTTTGCCCATTTTTTCATTGGGTTATTTGTCTTTTTTATTGCTGAGTTGTAAGAGTTCTTTATATATTCTGGACACTAGACCCTGATCACATACATAATTTGCAAAAATTTTCTCCCGTTCTGTGGGTTGTCTTTGTACTTTGTTGATAGTGTCTTTTAAAACACAAAGGTTTTTATTGTTGAAGTCCAATATATTTTTTTCTTTTTGCTGTTTGTGTTTTTTTATATAATGTCTAAGAAGGCTTTACCTTACTCAAGGTCAAGAAGATTTACTTCTATGTTTTCTTCTAAGAGTTTTATAGTTTTAGTTCTTACACCAGTAATTATTGCTATATTTAAGATTTCTGCATATCGAGTGCTTGTTAACTTGTTAAAAATGCCTCAGTCCTCACAATAAGAATACACTATAGTTTTCAAATTAGGTAGTTCACAGTGGGAATAACTTATCTCTGCTCTATAACGTCTGGTGCTTCAGCTGAGAAGCCTCAGTGGCGGAGCCCTATCATCTGTAGGCTTCTTTGTGCATGTCTGGCAGTTGATGCTGGCCATTAATTGGAACTTTGGCTGGGGCTGTTGACCAGACATTGCATTGGTGTGTCTGTATGGCCTGGGCTTCCATCAGAGTGTGCTGTCTCTGGGTAGCTGGACTTCTTACACAGCAGCTCAGGACATCAAAAGCTAGCTCTCCAGCCCAAGGCAGAAGCTGATTGCATCAAAAGTCAAGCAGTATCATGTTTGCATTATTCTTTTGGTTAAAGTGAATCACTAGCCTTCCCAGAGTCAAGGGAGAGGGCGGAGCTGACCTCTCTAGGTGGACGTAGAAGAGCATGTGGGATGAGTGACATTGTTGCAGCTACTTTTGGAAAAAACAGTATGCCATGTTGTATCTTTAGTGCTTGGCACATAATAGGTGCCAGTAAATATTTGTTGAATACTAAGCACTATGGTAGATATTTTCACAAATGTTTATCTCAACATCTTTTTAGCAATACAGTGTGATGGGTGTTATCAGCCTCTCTTAACTGGTGATAAAATTGAGACTTCAGTGTCCTGTCACCTTTTCTTATTTTACCTATAGTGTAAACATTTATTTATTTAGTTTAACATTTGAAATATTCTGATTTTTTAAAAAACTTTTTATTGAATTTATTGGGGTTACACTGGTTAATAAAATTATATAGGTTTCAAGTGTACAATTCTATAATATATCATAATATCTATAATATATCATCTGTATATTGTATTGTGTATTCACCACCCAAAGTCAAGTCTCCTTCCGTCACTATTTATCCCTCCTTTGCCCTCTACTCCTTCCCCCTACCCTGCTGGTAATCATCACACTGTTGTCTGTGTGTGTGAGTTTTTTGTGCTTTTTTTTTTTTTTTAAATCTCTTCACCTTTTTCACCCAACTCCCCAACTCCCCTCCCCTCTGACAGCTGTTAGTCTGTTCTTTGTATCTCTGAGTCTGTTTCTGTTTGTTAGTTTATTTTGTTCATTAGATTCCATATGTAAGTGAAATCATATGGTATTTGTCTTTCACTGACTGGCTTATTTCGAAGTATCACTGTTGGCATTGAGGGAAGTGACTGGGCATGATTGGATTGATTTACTTGGATTCATTAAAGAAGTATTTTTTTCAGTTCTTACTATATATATGGCATTATTTTAGGCTCTGTCATAAAACAACAAACCTGATAGACAAGGTCCTTCCCATCATTGATTTATATAAGATAATTTCAGTTTGTAAAAATACTGTGAAGGTATTAAATTGAGTTAGGGAAGGCAGTATCCCCATACACTGTATTTGCCTGGGGAAAATTATAGGTGCAACTGATCACGAGGGAAAATTAATGAATTAAAATTAAGATATAGTTAATCATGTCTGTAAGAAGCGTGTCTTATAAGAATTCATATATGTTGTCATTCATATTTAAGAATATTTTGCATATTTTGTTGGTAAAATATTTGGTGTAATCAAATTAGATAAACATGTCTTAGAGACTAAAGGTATGCAGAAATTACTTTTTTTCCAAAAAGAGTTTGTGCAGTTTTGACCTCCCTGTTAATATAAAAGAACTGGAGTTGATTTGGGAAGACAAGTACATAGAGGATGTCTGTAATGATACATGGGTTGTAGATAAAAGATTTAGCCAGCAAGCTGGAGAGGATCTTGGGCATGGTACCTGCCTATCATTTCTTCTGTTAGCATGGTCCTAACTAGCATAAGTAAACCAAAATGTTCATGAATTTGTGTTACCTCATCTTCCCTAATGCAATTGCTGCATGGAAGGAAACACTAATGAGAACACTTAGAGCAATCAACAAAAATGGTAAATAGGGCACATTTTTGTCCTTAAGGAGCTTATAGTTTTACTAGGGTGGCAGATATATAAAGTAAGTAATTAGAATACAGTATAGTAAGCACTCTAATAACAGATATGGGCTAGGCTCTGTTAGAGTTTAGAAGGCAGGAGTGTCCTGCTGGTCTGTGGTTTTAGGGAATGCTTCACATAAGAGGTGATAACTGAGCTGCTGTCTGGATGAGGAATTAGATAGATGAAGTCTGAGCAGAGCATTCCCAGCAGAAGGAGGGGCATACAAAGGAGCAAGGGGAACTGCAGAATGTTTAATGATGTTACTAGACAGGGGACCTGTCCCTGAACATGTCTGCTTAGGGTCAGTTGGTAGCATGTGGGTTCTTGACTTTGTGCAGGAAAGATTTCACAACACGCGGCCAGGTGATTGTAGGTATGTTTATTAAAGCTGGGGACAGTGAAATAAGGAAAGGCTTAGCATAGAAGAAGCAACAGGAGAGCCCAGGCTGGGCTGACTTAGCTTACTGGGAAGTCAGAGAAAAGGGGGCCTTGGAGACAGGCTCAGGAGATTAGCCCTGGATGAACTGCAGCTGCCCATTGCTCCCCTGGTTGCAGGTCTCTTGAGGACCCTCAGAGTTTAGGAAATGAGTGCCTGTGGGGGAAGAAGAAGAGAAAGGGGAAGGAACGGGTGTGCTCCCCAGAGGGAGAGCAGGAGCTGGGTCCTTTGTCTTGAAGCTTTTATCTCTCTTGCAGGCAGGAATCTTGGGGGAGGTCTTATGGGGGGGGTTTCAGCAGAATATTCACTAATTTTCCAGGTGTGCTTTTCAGGGCCATGGTTTCCACTGATTAGTCAGTATCAGGGCAGGAGGTCTTCAGTCATTGCAGCTGGTCCTAGCGTCGCCTATCTGATTTTGCTGCTTTTCTGGGCTTGGAGCTGAAATACAACTGAGGCCTAGATGTTATCCCTAGGGAGGTGACCTTCTGTATCTGGCTGTAAATTGCTTGGCCAGTTTGTTCAGCTATCTGTCTCAGTTTCCCTATTCCACTTGCTAAGGAATTTTCCTAGCTTCTTCTTATCCTGCCTCAATAAGGCTGAAAATAATGTGAGTGTGAGGGAATGGTGAGAGATACAGGGGACCAGAACAAGAAGGGTCTTACATGTCATTACTAGGGAGTTGGAGTTGATCCATAGGGGATGGAGAGCTACTGAAAAATTTTGAATAATAATATTTCACACAAGGATATCCAGCTACCTTTTCAACAGCACTTAATGACTAATAGGCATCTCAGAGTTAACATGCCCCAAAAGCTAACTCCTGATTTCTGTCCCCCACACCTACTTCTGCTTTTCTCCATCTTAGTGAATGACAACTTTATTCTTTGAGTTGGTTAGTTCAGTCATCCATAACTCCTTTTTCTCTATACCAATCAGGAAATACTGTTGTTCCTCCCTTTAAATTCTCCCAGAATTCATCCACTAATTTACTACCTCCATTGCAACCACCCTACTCTGAGCCACCATCATCTCTAGCCTGGATTACTGCAGTAGCGCCTCCTAACTAGTCTCCCTGCATCATCCCTTACACCTCAGCAGTGTATTTTACACACAGCAGTCAGGGACCCTTGTAAAAGGTGAGATCATGGTATTTCTGCTCTAAACCTTCTGATTACTTCCTTGCTTCAAGTTCTACATAGGACCACAGAGCCCTGCATGTCTGGCCCTTAGCTGTCTCTGCCACCACTATTCTTATTCTGCTTCAGTGCACTTGCCTCCTTTCTGTTCTTTGGATCTTGCCTACATTTTTGCCTCAGAACCTTTGCATTTGCTATTCTCTCTGTCTGGAACAGTATTCCCCAAGATCTCCACAGTGGTGGCTTCCTCGCTTCCTCACTTCCTGCAGGGCTCTGCTCATGAGGCCTTTCCTAATCACCTTATAGCAAAAGTTCTTCTCAGGCACTCTTTACTCTTACTTTTTTCCCTATAGATTTGCTACCATTTAACATCTATTTACTTGTTTGTCTCTTTTCTGCAACGTTAGCAGAAAGGTTAGAACTTTGGTTTGTTCGTTGCTCTCTCCCTAAGGCATAGAACATGAAGGAGCCACTCAATAAAGTTTTGTCGACCTAACGACTTGATTTGCATTTTCCTGTTGCAGCTTTTTGGATAATGAAGGGGTGAGAGTGCAGAATTGACACTTGGAATTGAAATAGTCCAGTCAAGAAATTTGGAGGGCATGGAGTCAAGAATTACTTGGGAGAGAGAACTGACCAGATTTGGCAACTCACTGGATAGGGAGAAGTGAAGGGTAATGACTCCCAGATTTCTGGCTTGGGTGGTTTGGGCAGATGTTGTTGTCAGGAATTAGTGAAGCCATGGGGATGAATGAAATAGACCAACCATCCTGGTTGGCTCAGGACTGTTGATTTTAGCACCAGAAGCCCATGTCTCAGGAAACCTTTCAAATCTAGGCAAACCCAGATGGTTTGTCACTCTAATATGTAGAGTGAAAAGATAGCTGAAGACAGAACTCTGTAATGGAAAAGGGGGAGGTAATCAAGTCTGTGCAGGAAATGGAGCAGGGGTAGTGAGAGGGGTGGGTAGCAGGGGACTCAGTGCGGAGTCATGGAAGCTGAGAGAGCAGATGCTTCAGCAGTGTTCAGCAGTGTAGGTTGAGTTTCCCTTGGAATTTTTGAGTTTTGAGTTTCTAGCTTTCCTTTGCAAAAGTACGACGTTATAGAGACTCTGTATATACTTCTTGAAATAAAAAATACAAATGATATATCTCTTTTGTTGTTTTCATTAATCTGTAAAAAGTTATTTAGGGGAGCCAACCTCTGATACTTGCTGGATCATAAGGATAAAATGAATTTAGGGATGTTACTAAAAGCAGCATCGAGTGTTTGGTGTCTCGGGTTAATGGATACTCTGAACACTGGGCAGTGGAAGTAAGCTGCTACATTCTGTAGTTCTGAAACAGCATTGAGTCTGAGTGATTATCAAAGCTGGACATTTGTGATCATCTACTTAGTGGTTCTTAATGTTTTGGAACCCTTTTGAGAAACTATTGAAAATCCTGAACTCCCCGCAAAAAAAGCACATTTTACCTCCAATTTTGGGGGTGGAGGGTTATAGATGCTACATGAATCCCATGGTAAAAGAATCACTAATATATCTAGTAACCCTCCCGATTTATACTGCAGGATATTAAGAGGCCTAGAAAAATTAATGAACTTATGCAGGATCACATAGTGACTGAATTCATTCTTGGTTGAGTGTTCTCTTTGTTATATGCTACTGTTTTATTGCAGGTTCACTCCCTCTGGACCTATTACTAGATTTCTTTTATTTCAGTTATGAACTGGGTCACTGTGCCAGCTCAGTAAGTTCACCCCAGCTTAACTCTCTGTCCATAGACTGAGCAAAAATTCTGTAGAAAATTTGATGAAGATTTAATATACTTAACTTTTAAGTCACAAATTAAGAGTTGATGCCTGGCCAGGCGTAGCTCAGCAGGTTGAACATTGACCTAGGATCCAGGAGATCCAGGAGATGATGGTTCGATTCCCAGTCAGGGCACATGCCCAGGTTGCGGGCTCGATCTCCAGTCGGGGGCGTGCAGGAGGCAGCCGATCAATGACGACTCTCTCATCATTGATGTTTCTATCTCTCTCTCCCTCTCTCTCTTCAAAATCAATAAAGATATATTTAAAAAAAAAAAAAAAAGAGTTGAGGTAAAAACTCTTACTAATGATTTTGTGCCTTTTGTTTGGAACAGGATGCTGTATGATTATGTTGAAAGGAAGCGAAAGGAAAATTCAGGAGCCCAACTGCATGTCACCTATTTAGTGTCTGGAAGTCTTGTTCAGAATGGACATTTGGTAAGTTCTCAGAATCTTGTAATGAGCTTAAATATGTTTGAGCTATAAACTGTTAAATAACAAGATGAGGTGGGAAAGGAGGGGAACACAAAATTTAGTATTATGGAAATTTTAAAAAGCTACCTGAAGATGACTATTTTGAATTTAGACTAACCCTAAAACTCTGAGAAGTTTTGGTAGTATCTTGGCTGTGATGCGGAGACTGTATTATTATGCAGTTTTCCTAGGCACAAGACATTAGGAGACTGCCTCTGTTATTCCTCTTTCTTCCTCTTCCCTAAGGTGTATAAGGGAATAGGATGGTTAGTTTCCATCCTGTTCAACTGTCAAGTCACATACTCAGGTGTTCAGAAAGCATAATTTTATTCTTTTTAACTGAAGTTGATTTTAATTTGAGCATTAATTTTATTTAGTAGACTTATGTCTAAGTGACTGAAAGATGGGAGTGTTGGCAGGGGGTTGAGAATGCAGAGGCATGGGTTGGGAACATCTTTATTCTCATGCATTTTTTTCCAGTCTGGTATGTGGTCACCCTTCAACTCAGGTCACTGCTGCATTTTCATCATCCTGACCATGAAGCATTCTCAGGTCTGCTGACTTTCTCTTGGCTACTTCCATGTCCCTCTGAAGGGCAAAGCTCTGCTGAGATAACTTGTTCTTCTGCTCCAGACTGATCCTTGGGAACTTTGATAATTCTTCCTCTCTGGTTTTCTCCCAAAAGTAAGGCACATTTTCTCTGTTCTCTCTTCCCCTAACCTCCAATCTGAAGGTTCTTTTGTTCCTTCCACCACCACCAGCCTTACAGAACTTAGCCCAAGGATCAGGGCTCCTCAGAGATCCACTAATAATATACGTGTTCCTCTTCCCTTTGATTTTTCTTCAGACTCATAAGTTCAGAAAACTGATTTATCAAAATACTGACTGGAGTCCCAAGCATGTGAGATTTAAAAGTAGAATGGCAATTTAGTAATTTACAAGGGGAAACGAAATTGCTAGGGGGATCAGATCCTTATATTCTCTGAAGAGCAATTTCTTTCCTTGTTGGTAAGCTATTTGGCAAGCCAGGTGATAATCAAGATTTTTGCAAGTGTAGGATCAGATGTCATTGTATATCTGAAACACAAAATTAGGCAGACCTGATGCATTTACTCTGGCAACAGAATCCTCTCTTTGCATGGCTCTTGAATAGATATTGCCAAAGTTTGCGTCTGAATGTCTCCTTTCCCTTCCTTTCCAGGGTTAATTAACTCTCTTCTGTCTCTCTTTAGTCAATGCCTTCAGTCTAGTCATAGTCAGTTCTTTACCTGGGAATCACTGTGTTTCTTTAAGACAGTAGGTTTTATTTCTTTTTTGGTCACTGATTTTTTTTTGAGAATCTGAAAGAAAAATTCACATGTTGACATTTATAAAGTTTTGAGTATTCACATATCTTCTGGAGCAGGGTCCAAGGTTAAGAATTTATGTTTTAAGATAAAGTTGTAGATTTAAGTTATAAGTTACATGACAAAGTTTCTTAATTTGGGATCTTTGCAAGGTCTTTGAGATTCAAGGGATTCCTGGATAAACCCCTGAAAATGCATTCAGATTGTGTTCCTTGGTGTGTTTTTTGGAAACCATTTTTCAAAATTATGTGTAATCCATATCAGTTAAAAACTTCTAAGCTGATGCTTATAAAGTCTGTTTATTTTTAAATTTAAGAGGGCATTTAAATTCTGCCAACCTTTTTTTAAATAGCAGAATGCTTTCAAACAAAATCTTAATTAGAATCCTAATATAAAAAATATACTGAGAGTAGGATTGTTGTGGTTGAAGTGACTGAGGATTTTGGAGCCTTGTTCTCACCCTCCTCACAACCCCACAGGGCAGCTCTGTGGAACCCTCTAGAATGACTGACCAAGTGTGGCTGTTACCCATGTTTTTTCCCTTAAAGAGAGCCCTTCTATGGAAAGGCAGAATATTAAGCATAATTTCAAATTTTGTTCTTTTTAATTTCTTCTTTATGCTTTAAGTGTTTCTAGAAAGAAAAAAGATACACTATAGGCTTCATATGGATTTTTAAAAATACTGTACTATTTTTCCAATGATCATGATTATTGTAAAAGATGTTTAGTGATAGAAAGTACAAGCCTCCTTCTAATCTCATCCCAGAGCGTCTCATCCCAAAGAATTATTTGCAAATTTCAAGGGGACATTTGGTTGATTCTTTTTGTGTTAGAGGTTTTCACCCTGATCCATCCTTTCTGAAGTTCCCTATTAGCCTTTTTTCATGTAATGATTTTAGCTGAGATTGATTTTTATTATTGCCTAGATCATTAATTCATGAGGAGTTACAAAATGGTGATGCTTTACTTCTCTCATTCTTTCTGCATATTATTGGCTGGAATTTTTCTGTAAAGAAGAACTTGCTCTCATTAGCCATATTTTTCCTTTTTCTTTAACTGTTATAAAGCTCAGGGGCTTCCCCTCAGCCAGGCTCTGGGTTTGTGGATAGGTACTCCTGGGTCCTCCTCTTAACAGGAACCCACTGAATTGGAGTCCTCCTCTGGTGTGCATTGTTTAGCACCTGTAGGCTGGCATTTCCACTGAGTTGTTTTTATGTATTTTCAGTATCCCCTGAGGCAGCATATAACCACACTGAACTCTCTCGGTTGTTCAGATTTTCTCCTAAGGGTACCGATTATTATTTTTAGGGCTCTTATTACAAAGTTGCATAGGTTTGAGTGGTTAGTTCCTAATGCCCTTTTTCTCTTAAGCTCTGTAATTTTTATTGTACAGCTTTGCAGAATATGAAATTTTAAAGAATGCCTGTGTGTTTTTTTAAGAGAAAACACATGAGAACATACTAATATTCCCAGTTCAGATTTACAATTACTTTTTTTTTTACAAAAGTTATTTGATTTTATATTGTTATTTTCTCTTACGATGTGAATTTTGGTGGTTTGTACATTAACATAATTATCTGCTTTAGCCGAATATATGAAATTTAGAAAAGCAAAACCAATATTTTTATTAACAATATGATTACTGAAAACAGTTTGACTTCTTTGCAGTTGTTTTTGTCTGTAGGATATATCCTACTAGGGATGCACAATCAGCCTGTGTTTTAGAATCACTTGAAATAATTCCTCTCTATAATTAAACCACCAACTAGTTAAGTTGGTTTTTTTCCCCTCTTTGAATTTATAGGTTCCTTCCTTTCCTTTATAGGTAACTCTTTTTATTGGTTTTGTGTTCTCTTTCCATTGTTTTTGTTGCTGTATATATTTTTAATATAAACAAATATATATTCATGTTACCCCCCTTTCTTAGATAAAAATTTTCATACATTACATTCTATTTTGCGCTTTGCTTTTTTTACTTAACAGTAGATCCTGAGCATCAATCTAATAGTAGTTGTAGAAATATTCTGCATTCTTTTTTACAGCCACATGATCCTACATTAATAGATATCCCGTAGTTTATTCAGCAGTTCTTTACTGATAGTTTAGTTATTTATAATCTTTGGCTGTTATAAATAGTGCTGCAATGAATAGCTCAGTGTCTATGTATTCTGTATATTTTTACCAGTGTGTTTTAAGGTTGCATTCCTAGAAGTAGGATGTTTATGTACTTTGTTGGATATTGCCAAATACCTCTCCATTTTTTATTCCCAAAAGCAATGTATGTGAATGCCTGTTTCCACACAGTCATATGTTTCAGGGCTATTTGCATTTCTTTTTCTGTAAACTGTCTATCTGTTCATATGTCTTGCTCATTTTTTTAAAGAATTGCTAGTCTTTCTTGTCTCCATTTTAGAAGCTATATGTTAACCCTTTGTGATATAACTTGCAGACATTTTTTTCTACTTTTATCATTTGTCCTTGTACTTTGGTTACAGTTTTTATTTATTTTTTATTTTTTGTCATCTAAAAGTTAGCTGTCAGTTTTTATGGATTATTGTAATTATTTTTGGATTTTGAATTATAGTTAGGAAACTTCTTCATTCTCAGATCATATCAGTTTCTTGAAGAATTCACCCATATTTTCTTCTAGTGCTTGTATGGTTTTATTCTTTACATTTTGATCTCAGATTCTTTAAGAATTTATTGTTCTATGTTGTGAGAGACATATCCAGTTTTTATCGGGTTCCATATGATTTTACAGTAATTCTTATTATATTACCTATTAAAAAATCCTCTTTTCCTCACACTGATTTGAGATGCTGTGGGATTTTTTTAAATTGTATTGATATCTATACTCTTTCACTTTCCTTAACATCATTGAGAAGTTTTAATTGTGCAAGTTAAAAATGAGTGTGATTCTTAAACTGTAACATATATTTTCAGGGGTACTTAATGTTCCTAATTTTACAACCAAGTGCAATTGACTTACTGGCTACAAAACTTTAAAATTGCAAGTTGTACTACTTTAAACATTAATGAAGTGTTATTTCCTTACAGTGCCACAAGGTTGCAGTAGTGAGAGAAGATAAATTGGAAGGTAAGTGTTTTAGCAATTTAGCAAGTTTTTCCTCTTACAGTATCAATGTAGGTACAATAAAAAAAATCTAATATCTGCATACAATATAGTTAGCTGTTTAACTGAAGAGCTCTATATTCCTTTTGTTAGTAGTTTCTGAAACATTAAAATATGATACTGCATCTGCCTACTTTCCCATTTTTAGGGTCAGTAGCTACTAACGTTTATAAAGCACTTTGATCACAGGATAGACTTGCAAAAAACTATCACGAATACCATATGGAACACCTCATCAACTGTGAAAAGACAGTAGTCTCTTAAGTATCGTGCTATGTTCCATAGCAGATTTTTAAGAAAGAAAATTAAAGAATGCTTTTCTAAAGTCAGAAATACTTAATAAAATGTCTACGTTAAATTTGTCCACCTGTTTCAAGACTATTTATGCTAATGTTCTATTTTTAAAAAAACTCATTTCAAAGGACTTGTATGATAGCAGGCTCCACATGATCTTGGACCTGTGTCTCAAGACAAAACCTGCATAGTTATACTTTGTAAAGACAGACTCTGGAGGAGTTGTTTTATTACAAATTAACTTTGATGTATTCAGGGTGGTAGAGTTGTCTACTTTTTCTTTCTGAATTCCACACTGGTAGGCAAAGCAAGGTTTACTCATTCAGTCGATACATAGTGAGTATTTACTGTGTGTCAAGCTCTGGGCTAGGCACTAGAGACTCGGAACAAGTCAGGCACAGTCCTTTTCTTAAGGGAACATAAAGTTTGTTCCTATGATGTTCTTTTGTGTTTTTCCTCTTCAGATTCACCTGGTTAGTAATATTTTGTTACAGAGTTGCTTTCTCTAAAGTTGAATTACGTGAGTCTTCTCAGATAAAAACTACCTACTCCTCAATTATATGCTAGAGTGTAAGAATCTTCCCTGACTGAAAAAAAATCAGTCATCATCAATCATTCATTAGTATTTACTGAGTGTCCACTGGATGAGTGATACCCTCACAGGTGCTGTACTTAGAACTGACTCACTACCACCTACCTTGTCATAACGTCCCTGTTGGGAGACAGAAGAGGTGATGTTATACTGTATATGTGGCTATTTGGCCTTTTAGAGTCTTTTGGACCACCACAGATTGCAAATGGTTTTACTGCAGAAGGGTTTCTTGTTAAAGTCCCCACATGCTATGAAGTTTGTGTATTAACAGACTGCTTTTCCTGTTGACTTGTAGCAGTGAAGTCCAAGCTAGCTGTGACTGCCAGCGTCCATGTGTACAGCATCCAGAAAGCCATGCTAAAGGACAGTGGGCCTCTGTTCAATACCGACTATGACATCCTTAAAAGCAACTTGCAGAACTGCAGCAAGTGAGCTCCTTAATGTTCCTTGTGGGCTTCTTTACGAATTGATTTTGTAAGATGTTTACACAGTGGCTGCCTCTTAAGAGTGAATGCCAAGTCTAGTAAAACCCCATTTATCTTGCAGTAAGACACATGCCTGGTTTTATTAGTACATCATAAGGTGAAAAATAGCAGCCACAACCCATATTGAAAACCCCAGTGGACTCCCCATAAATCTATTTCTCATGTATTTATCCTGTCACTGTCACCAGAAATGTTTGTTGTGCCCCCTCATTACTCCCTCAGCCGAGTCTGCTTTTCTAAATTCTGCCCATCCTTTAAGAACCAGTTCAAACGTTGTCCTTCAAACTGTTTCTAATTTGATATCCCTCTACCTTCTATCCAAAAGCAGTTGATCTTCCACAACCAGTATCAGATCTTGTTCATTTTTGGTATCCTTTGCAGCACAGGGATGTGATGGACTGTAACACATGTGGCTTTTGAGAATTGATGGTCCTGAGCTTGGGTTGTGGCTTTGCTGTTTAATACCCCATGACTTTGGACAAATTACTTAAACTCTTTGAGATTTGGTTTCTTCACCTTTAAAATTAGATATAGTAATGCTTACTTTGTGGGGTTGTATTGAGGGTTCAGGTCGGCTCCCCAGATACATGTTGAATGCCTACTACTTTGACAGATACTAAGCAAGATAACTTGAATTCATTCAACAAAGATCTGATGTCTGTCCTTACGACATGCCACACTCTATAGAATGAATATGGCTCAGTGCCTGCTTAATATACTGATCATCTGGGATGAAGGTAGAGATTTTGGAATCAGAAAATAGGTAATTAAATGGGTAGACATAGTTATACAGAGGGAATGTATAGAATGAAAGGACAGAAAGTAAAACTCTAGGCCATAATTACTAGCTGTGTTACCTTGGGCAAATTAACCTCTCTGTGCTTCAGTTTCCTCAATAGTAAAATGAAGCTAACCATGTAACATCCTCACAGGGCTGTAGTGCATTAAGTGAATTAATGTATGTAAAATGCTTAGAACTGTGCTTGGCACACAGTAAGCACTATTTAAGTGAGAGCCATTTTTAAAGGGTGGTCAGAAAAAGAGGGCCCTGAGAGGGAGCAGCCAGAGATAAGAAAATTAGAGTATGTGGAGTTCTGAAAGCTAAGGAAAGAGTTTCAGGCAGGAGGGTTAATATCAAACCTTGCTGAAAAGCTAAGTAAAATAGGAACTGAAAAGTGGCCATTGGATTTAGTGATGGCCTTGGTAAGAGCATTTTCAGTGGAGTGACCAGAGTCTGGTCAGCTGAGTTAATATATAACTCTTTCCAGGAAATATGACTACAAAATGGAAAAAAAAAGAGGGACCTAGCTAAGGAGTAATTGAGACTAAGGGAAGATATATACATTTTTAAAGTTGAGAGTGCCTTGAACTTGTATTGTTAGGAAAGAGCCAAAAAAGAGAAAATGGGTGAAGATACTGGGGAGATGAGATAACTGATAGAGGACAACTACATATAGAATTGCCAAACATAATTTCTGTAAGTTCTATGAAAATAGGGATTGTGTCTATTTTGTTAAGCACTCTACCCATAATGGTGCCTGGCAGAAGGTAAGCGTTCAGTGAATAATTGTGGAATGAACTAATGTTGGACATTAGGTCTTTTTCTTTAGTTTAAAACCTTGAGTGTAGTAGGCATACAGATATTTGTTAAATAAATATAATTATATAACCAAAGGAATAATTTATAAGTCTGGTGTCTTTTAGGGAAAGATTATAGGAAACAATACCTGATATTTATGTAAATTATATTATTAGATTTCAAAAATAGTCTGTTAAAATCTAGTCATGGTATGTTGAGCTCTAAAAATTGTTTCTTCTGTTGTATCTAGCAAGTAAGCAAACGAGTAAAAGTGACTCAAAGGTTTAAAAAATTTGCACAGGGACCTCTAAAATAAATACGGCAAGTAGAAATGTGGTAATAGGAAGCACTTTAATGAAACTTTACTTAAATACTTAAAGTAGCCTTGCTAAAAATGTGAAGAATTTATCTCCAATAAAGAAGTTTGTATTTGGTCCTGAGAATTATGGGCCAACTGAGATCTGACTCATTGTTTCATGTGTTTTTAAGAAGTGCTGTGACAGGAAGAAAGTTGAAATTTTAGGATTGAGCAGATTCTTCTCTCTTCGGACAAGTTCCCAGCCTAGCTTGGTCTCTTCCTCATTGCCAATTCCTGGTCCTGACCCTAAGGTGTGGAATGTAGACCAAATGGAGAAAGAGTTGTCTTGAGGCCAACTTTAGATGTTGACAATGAAATAAAACATTGCTCTTTTCCTTGTACATGGAAGCACTGCAAGGCCAGAGAGGTAGAGTGGTGGGTGAAAGGAAATGAGTTCCGTCTGTTCTTAATTCTGATGCACAGAATATTTGTGTTAATGTAGGGTTTTCTAATGTGGACCACAATAAGTCAGTGGAAGATTTTTGGAACTGTAAATTCTAGCTTTGGGGCTGTTCAATCTGAAGTTATTTTTTTAAAAAAAAATATATCTTTATTGATTTCAGAGAAAGTAAAGGAAAGGGAGAGAGAGATAGAAACATCAATGATGAAGGAGTCATTGACTGGCTGCCTCCTGCACACCCCCAACTGGGGATGGAGCCTGCAGCGTGTGCCCTGACCGGGAATTGAACCCCGATCACCTGGATCCTAGGTCAACACTCAACTGCTGAGCCACGCCCGGCCGGGCTGAAGTTCCTTTTGACATTAAATGATTTATCAGGGATTTTTTTCTTAGGCCAGTTATTTTAGCAGCTAATCTTTAATTTGTGCCTGGTTGATCACTAAGATAATTACCTTCACCATATAGTTTCCTAACCTCCATGTTCTCCCACTTCAGGTGATACATTGGACACGGGAGAGAAGGCAGAAGCCTCACTTTCAATGGCTTAAATAATCAGTCTTTCAATTTGTATTTCCTGACACTTACATGCCAGGTTTCATACAGAGTACCTGAAATACAAATGATGAATAGTACATTTCCCTATCTTCACAGAGCTCTTACATATACCCTCAATAAGCAAAAGACGGGGAAAGAAAATATTCTTTATTGGGAAAAGTTGGGGAGCCTAGCTTTAATTATAGCCATTTGAGAAGGCTAGATAAGTTACCTGTTCACAATGTGCAACGTTACATTATGGATCTGTGTGAAACAGGAACATCTATAATGAATGTTCCCTTTAATATCCATGCAAACAGTTCCAAATTTCTTCATTTGGCTTTGGACACGCTTTTCTGGTGCTGTTAGTTGGTATTATTAGAAATTATTAACAACAACTGTTAAGGACCACAGGTTTTAGGAGCCAATGGCTGTGTTCCCAGACTCTTCCATGTTTTATTTTTATTTAAAAAATATTTTTATTTATTGATTTTTTTTTTTTTTTTAAGAGAGAGAGACATTGATTTGTTGTTCCACCTATTGATGCCTTCATTGGTTGCAATTGCTTCTTGTATGTGCCCTGACTGGAGAGCGAACCCGCAACCTTGGTATATCGGGATGACACTCCAACCAACTGAGCTACCTACCCGGGCACGGAGCTTCTTCCATGTTTTAAATCATGATCCACTCTGGTCAGGAGAGTTGCCTGGAAATTTGTTAATATTTATAGCTCTTAATTTTGATTCAGTCAATATTTATTGCATATCTGTCCCTGTAAGATGAAAGTCTTTTAAAAACAAGAGGATAATCATTTGGTTTCCCAAGTATGGTGAAATTATTAATCTATTATTATTGTTTGGTGTATTCTTACTATTTAGAATTAGCATGCTTTTTTCAAAACACTAATATTCAGTATGGTATGGTAGATTCCCTATCCTAGGTGTTTTTTAAAAAATTTTAAATAAGAATTAATTTGAGCCAAATTGATGACATGCTGGGGAGCAAGATCTCAGATGCTCCCCATATCCTAGTTTTGATTCCAATCCTAGTCCTGTTACTAACTAGACATATAACCTAAGACAAGTCACCAATTTCTAATACTTGTTTATCTGAATGAGAGTTTTGCACTAAATAATTTCTAAAATTTGTTTTAGTTCTGAAATTTTCTCCTTTTATAGTATTAGGCTTAGAAAGTATTATATTAAAGAAGCAAGAATTTGAAAGTAACCTTTGATATTGATATTAATGTAACATTTCTTTCTCAGGTTTAGTGCCATACAGTGTGCAGCTGCAGTCCCTAGAGCTCCTGCTGAAACCTCATCTGAAAAATTTGAGCAGTCAAATCTTCAGGTATCAAGTGAGACACAAGCCAATAATGAGTTGACCACCAATGGTCATGGCCCACCTACCTCCAAACAGATTTCCCATCAACCTAAAGGAATTATGGGAATGTTTGCCTCTAAAGCTGCTTCTAAAACCCAAGATACCAACAAAGAAACCAAAACAGAAGCTAAAGAGGTAACAAATGTAAGTCTTCTTTAAAGATACGCCTTTCAGCTCAGAATGGGTAACTAGAAAAGCATTAATAGTTCCAGTGGTAGTAGTTTAATGATACTGTATATAAGGTTCTGATATTTAGTTCTAATTTTTATACTTTAGTTTGAACCCTTTAATTCTTGATATTTTCATCTGAAATAGTCCTTTTTCTTTTGATAGTGCTTCTCACCAAGCTTTGAGCTATTAAGTGGTGGAACCAGTATCAAATCCACTTCTGATGATTACAAATGTAATGTTTTGGAGGTTTTCTCCCCATCATGTACCATACTGCCTCTGCTCTATTTCAATTCTGTCAAACTAAGTAGTTTTTAAATATGCTCAAGAAAAGTTTAGACATATTCGTGGATAATAATTTTATAAGAACTGTGAAAACCTAAGCTTTGGAGATTAACACCCGATACTGGCGGGTCTGGATTTGTTCTTATATCTAATGATATAAAGACTGAACCATCATGACAGTGCACTCTGCTATTGAAGAGATTTTTTTTTTAGGCTGTCTGAAGAGCAGCCTAAACACTAAGAAAAAAAATTGTGTTTTCTCTTTTCTATGCTTTTAGGCATCTTCAGCAGGCAACAAGCCACCAGGGAAAGGGAATGTGATGAGCAATTTTTTTGGAAAAGCTGCTATGAGTAAGCATGTTCTTACCTTCTTTTGACTACTAATACATGAAAATTATTATAATAAATTACTACGTATCTGAGGTTTTACCCATCTAGGATACTACCATGCAGCATTCTTGAATTCTAACATAATTTTCAATATATTGATGAAAGTAACCCAACTAAAACAGTGGATTTAATGGGTGATCTGGGTTCAGTTTAGATCCCATAGAGTATAGTTTATTCTTCCTATTTTTACCTCCTGCCTTGAAAAGAGACATATTTGTTTCATAGAGCTCTTGAAAATGGTGATTAAAACAAAAGGGAGGCTGTTTGGTTAAGCAGTACAGTGTCAGTTTGCCTGGTGTGACCATTGTAACCCCGTCTCCCAAGATCTGCAGAAACAAAGCTTTTGCCTTTCTTTAGTTATTTTTGTAGATTACTCATAGTAATGAACTAGACCTCAGTGTGAATTGGAAGTGCCCAGATAGTATTGTCCATTTAAAAAAAATCTCCGTTATTTAAAAAAATTTCTAAAGAATTCTTTCATATGGAAGGAACCAATAGTCACATATTTTCATACTTCTCATATCAAGTAAACATCCCCTGAGGGTATGTGGCAGAATACCAGGAAGAATGTAGGAGCGGCAGGATAATTATAGCACACTTTTTTTGAGCATCAGTTTTATAAAGATTTTGTGGGGAAGCATTTTATTACGGGCCTATGCAAGCAAAATTAGTTAGAATTCTGCTTTTCCGTGATGGTCAAATTGGTGGTTGGGAGAGGAGTTGGAGTGATGGTTTTTATTTGCCATAAAAGTTATCAGAGAACATTTTTGTGTTCTGAAAGCATAAGGAGAATTTGATACTTTCAGGTTATTGGGAAACATGATTGTATTCTTGCGAGCCCAGTGAACAAAGAGGGCTCCCTACTCCTATGAAAATAGATCATGCTAATTTCACTGGCCTGTGTACAGGCTGGTACTGCTCTGCTCCACTGTACCCGCTTTGATTGTGTGGTTTCTTGGCAACTTCCATGAGGTTTACATGTACATTTGTTTTTGTTTCTCTGTGTGTTTATAACCTTAATAACCAGTGAAATTTTAAATTATTATTTTTAAAATATGTAAGACATGAATATTTTGCTAACTATAAAAAAAATAAAATCAGCGTCTTCTCCAAGAAAACACCAAATGGCGGATGTCCCTGCTGCTTCTGGAGGGCCTAGAAGGGGGGGAGTCAAACTATATAGAAGTATACACTTATTTATTCATGTGTGTTATTTAGCAAATATTTATTGGGTACCTGCTATGTGCTTGGCACTATTGTGCATTGGTGGTACAGTGGAGAAAACGTGTGCAAACAAGGTTCCTGCCCTCGTGCCCTTATATTCTCCTGGTAGAGACACAAATAAGTACAAAACAATAAAATAGTTAATGATTATAATTGTTAGGTAGAGAGTAAAGGGTATTATGATAGAATGTAATAGAGAAGGAAAACCTGGATAAAATGAAAGAATTCAGTATTTATCTAACAAAAAGAATGGCTTACAAAGTTGATTAACATGATTTTTCGGGGCTGGATGATTAGAGTTAAATTATGAAAATTTTTATTATATTTAACACATAACAAGATCATTACAGTGAAAATGAAGCTTGAGAGTTAGATGGAAAGGTGATTGTGGAGACTTGAACCATTTACATCTTAATGCTGGGTAACCATTGGCAAGGATGTGGAGGAGTTGAACTCATGCATTGCTGTGGGGAATGTAAAATGATATGCTTACTTAAAAAAAAAGTGTGGCAATATTACAAAAAGTTAAATCTAGAGATACCCTGCAGTTCCACTCTCAGGTATCTACTCAAGAATTAAAACTGTATGTCCACACAAAACTTATACACAAGTGTTCATAGCAGCATTATTCATAATAGTTAAAAAAGGAAAGAATCCAAAGGTCCATCATCTGATGAATGGAATAAACAAATGTGGTATAACCACACAATGGAATGTTATTCAGTCAAAAAACAGTGAAGTACTGATACATACTACAACATGGATGAACCTTGAAACATTGTGAGAAATGAAAGAAGCCAAAAACAAAAGACCATGTGTTGTTTGCTTCCATTTATACAAAATGTCCAGAATATACAAATCTATGGAGACAGAAAGTAGGTTAATGCTTGTCAAGGACTGGGCGTGGTGAAAATGTTCTAAAATTGGATACTGATGATGGTTGCACAAATAAAAACCACTGAATTGTACACTTTAAAAGGGTAAATTTTATGATGTGTGAATTATATTTCAGTAACAAAAACCTTAATGCTTTTTATGTTAAAAAGTTGTGTCATTAGTGACAAAGTCATCATGCTACCTTTCTCTGCTTGAAAAAGGGTTTCATATTTTCTTTAGTATAAAAATGAGATGCTTTTAATTAGTCAGATGATACAAGTAACTTGAACATCCAGGCGATAAGAAGATGTGATTAAATTTTCCTTAACAGTTGTCTGGAATTGTTATAATAAACTACTTCTTTACCAGCTAATTGGCCAATTGTAGTTTCATATATGTATAAATTGGAGTTCCCAAAATGCTGTGAAACCAAGACAGAATAAAACTCTGGATGCTAAATCTGTTTGATCAATGGTATTTTAATTTAGATCAATTTTCTAAAATTGATAGACCTGATATAATAGCTTCTCTTTCCTTAACCCATGAGGTAGGTAGGAAATATATGGAGGTTTTTCCTCCTAATGATGTAATTTTGAAATAGATGCTAACAAAATGATGTAAGTTATGTAATAGAATGCAGAATTTGCATAAACTTTAAAGATACACGTGCAGTGTCATGGAACTTTTTGGAGGTCAGTCAGTGATCCCTGACCCCTTGGAGATACATGTTTACTCTCCTGTATAGTTTGGTGGGAAAGTTTGAGAAGTATTGATACTTGAGAACAGTAGTAGTGAAAATGCAAGAGAGAATGCCACCATGGGGCTGGTGGATTCAACCATTCAGATTTCCCATTTAAATTTTAAAAAAATAAAACATAAACAGATTGCATGTTATACTTTTACCCATCATCTATTCTTTCAAATAATATACTTTATTTATAAACTATTATACTAAGCTCTGTGGAACAGCCCAAAACTAAGATAGCAATCATTGTTTTTCCTTTTCTGTAGATGGCTTAATCTATTTTATGATGTATAACCAAAACTACTTATTGAAGAGCTTCATGCTGTTTACAACTTCCCGAGTACAGCATATAATTTCTTTATACTTATTCTATAATTTCTCAGATGGCAAGGCCCATCCTGCTTAAATTTTTTTGTCCTCTACAGCAGAGTTGTTTTGTGTTTTTCAGTTTGGGGTAGGGAAAGGGATAAAGACTTTGAGGAGTTAAACTGATTTAAGTTCAAATCCTGGCTCTTATCCATGTGTTTCCTTGAAGTAAATCTCTCTTAATCCCTGTGATAATCTTATAAGTATTACTCCATTTTTTTACAGAGAAAACTGATTTTAGATAAATTAACTTGCCCAGAATGAAGCAGGATTTGAACCAAACTTTTCTGATTCCAAAGTAGTCTTTCAATTATATCATTAAGGTAGTAGGATATAAAAGTATCCAGGCTTAAAAGGATAGAATATAATAGAAAATAAGGTCTTAGTACAAATTTCTCTTGTCACTATTTGTAAGCTGTGTACTCTTGAGAAACATCTTTCAATTCCTCTAACTCTTAGTTTTCTTATCTAGCTAATGAGAATGGTGATACCTCTTAAAGTTGTATTTGTGTTTTTTTTCTAAACCTTGCTTTTACTCTCATTTGCCTTGGGCGCTGTGATATTATGAGAGATTAGCAGGAGGCAGAAATGAGAACAGTTGTAGCTAGAGTGGTAGTTAGAAAGGAGAAATGTTCTTTGACTAGACCATGAGCTCTGTTAGGACAGGGACTGTGTGTTTTTTTAACTCCTTTAGTCTGTGTCCCTAACATATTACCTGACACTTAGTAGACTGTCAAAGGAATAATAGATTAATATTGCATGATGGGATTATACATTGTCTGCTATACTTTATTTGTAGATAAACTAAAAGTCAGTTTGGATTCAGAACAAGCAGTGAAAGAAGAAAAAGGAGTGGAACAACCTCCACTCTCTGTCACAGAACCAAAGCTGGCAGCCCCTACAGGCCTGAAGAAATCCAGCAAAAAAGCAGAGCCTGTTAAGATGCAGCAAAAGGAGAAAAAAAGGTAGGAAAATTTTGTTACTTGTGGAGGAAGAGGGTTTCTGCTGGGGTTAAGAAGGTCTGTCTGGGCTTATTGACAGCAGGCAGTTTTTAGTTGAGCACTAAATCCTACTTAATGGGTTCAGGATACAGCTACATAACCAAAGTGAGGGGAGAAGCTCGATATCTTATCTAGTAAAGTAGACCTACAATCTGCATTTTAGATAATTTAAAACCCAAAGTCCATTTTTTGGGCCCCATTGATCTAAATCTATTATCTTTTTCTCCTTTATTTTGAATTTGTGGACATGGCATAAGTGTGCCTGATTTTGTGTCTGTTTTTTACTTCAAATTGCAAATGAAAGGTTACTCGTTCCAGTCAAATTTAAGAGAAAAAGTTCTTTGTTTTCTTTTTATATCAATGAGTTTATTTTTCAAGTGGTAAAATGTAATTAGAAAAGAAAATAAAAAGCACACAAGCTGTTAAAAATGGATCCAGGAATTTGAGACACTACCTCATAGTTGGTAGGAATTAGTCTGTTGAAAGAAATTCTAAAGGACACTGTCAGCACTGATAGGCCCAGAAATACTTGACTTTTGTGGCAAGGTTGGGGATACTCTAATAGAAAACATCAACAAAATACTGAAGTTTCAGAGCGTCAAGGCTCTGTCCAGTTGGCCTCACCTCTTAGGAACATGTGATATGGGTGGATTAAAATGTCCCAACCATGGGTACAACACTCGTTGATGATTATTGCCAGGAATGCATTCAGTATTTTAGCACTAAGTATAAAATTAACTGTATATTTTTAGTAGATGCCCTTTACCAGATAGAGGAAGTTCTGTTCCTAGTTTGCTGGGAAGTTTTATTATGAATGAGTGTTGAATTTTGACAGATGCATTTTTTTGTACTTATTGAGTTGATAATACAATGTTTCTGTTAATGTAGTGAATTACATTGATTGGTTTTCAGTTGTTAAACCAACCTTGCATTCTTGGGATAAACCCCAACTTGGTTGTGATGTATTATTTTTTTTATATATTGCTGGATTCTATTTGTTAATATTATAAGGAATTTTTGCCTATGGATCTGGGCCTGGAGTGTTCTTTGTGGGAAGGTTTTTTAAAAAATGAATTTGATTTCTTTAAAGAGAGCTCTTCAAATTGTCTTGTTCTTTTTGGGTCAATTCGGTTGTGTTAATGCCAGTTGAATTATTGAAAGGCCAATAGAAGTAAGAATTTAGGAAGATTCTCAATAATCTGGTAGTAGTTTCCAGTGGTCTGTAGAGAGCTAGAGAAGATTTTTATTCTGGACATCCCATGAGGTAACCTGTTTGTGGTCAGTTAGCCTTAAAAAGAATCCTTATTAGTCTACTTTGACTTTTCTGTCCTCTGAAATTCAGACCATGAATTATGAAGCAAGACCCACAGTAGCATATGAATACTTATAATTTTATTTTGTATAATATGCTTAAATTTTTCCTGGATGGCCACAGGGGGAAGCGAGTGGAGTTCTCTGATGATGAGACAAAAGAAACTGTGAACATGAAGAAAAAGAGAAGACTCAAATTTCCTGAGTCTGATAGCAGTGAAGATGAAGGTGGGCATTGCTGTTAATTTTTGGCTAGTGGGAGTGTCTGTCAGTTCAGGCTGCTATAGCAAAAATACCATAGACTGTGTGGCTTAAACAAAAGAAATTTATTCCTCACAGTTTTGAAGGCTGTGAAGTCCAGGATCAAGGTATAGGCTGATTCAGTTCCTGATGAGAGCTTTCTTTCTGGTTTGCAGAACCACCACCATTTTTGCTTTATCCTCACATGGCAAGAAGAGAAATCTTCTTTCTCATGTCTCTAATATAAAGGACCTAATCTCATTCATTAGGGCTCTACTCTCTTGACTCAATTACTTCCCCAAATTCCCACTTCCAAGGACTATCACATTAGGGATTGGGGCTTCAACATACAAATTTGGGGGGGGACACATTCAGTTCACAGCAGGGGTCAATTCTTCTGATGGTCAAAATGCTAAAAAGTAATTAATTATGGGTGACAACTACACTAGTAATCCTAGCATTGAGAGACATATAGCACCTATTTCTGTTTAAAATTTATTTTAGCCTTTTGACCAGAACTATCATTTTCATGTAATTTTCTAAAATAACAGATACAAAGGTAAAGAGAATAAGTATTATTAAAATATATATCATCAAATATATTTTCTTTTTAGTTTTTTAAATTCTATTTTTCAGTTATAGTTTACATTCAATATTATTTTGTATTAGTTTCAGGTGTACAGCATAGTGGTTAGACAAAAATATACTTTACAAAGTGGTCCTCCAATATTTCAAGTACCCACCTGGCATTGTATAAAATTATTACAATATTAACTATATTCCCTTTTCTGAACTTTACATCCCCAGGACAATTTTGTGACTACCAATTGTAGTTATTAATCCCTTCACCTTTTTCACCCAGCCCCACAAACACCACCACCACCACCACCACCATCACCACCATCCTTGCACTGCCCCCAACCCCCAACCATGTTTGTTCTCTATGTCTATGAGTCTGTTTTTATTTTGTTTATTCATTTATTTTACTCTTTAGATTCCACATATAAGTGAAATCATATGGTATTTGTCTTTCTCTGTCTGACTTATTTCACTTAGCACAATTCTCTCTAGGTCCATGCTGTTGCAAATGGTAGGGTTTCATTTTTTATGGCCAAGTAATATTTCATTGTTTATATGTACCACTACTTATTTTATCTACTTGTGCGTTGTTGAGCACTTAAGTTGCTTTCGTATCTTGGCTATTAAAGATAATGCTACAGTGAACATAGGGGTGCATATATTCTTTCAAATTAGGATTTTGAATTTCTTTGGATATATACCCAGAGTGGAATCGCTAAGTCATAAGGTAGTTCCATTTTTAATTTTTTGAAGAACCTCCATACTGTTTTCCATAGTGGCTGTACCAATCTGCATTCCCACCAGCATTGAATTAGGGTTCCCTTTTCTCCACATCCTTGCCAGCACTTGTTAGCACTTGTTTGTTGATTTGTTGGTGGTAGCCATTCTGACAGGTGTGTGTGAGGTGATATCTCGTTTTAATTTGCATTTCTCTGATGATTAATGATGTTGAGCATCTTTTCATATATATCTATTGGCCAACTGTATGTCCTTTTTGGAGAAGTGTCAATTTAGGTCCTCTACCCATTTTTTAAATTAGATTATTTTATTTTTTTAGTGTTGAGTTGTATGAGTTCTTTATAAATTTTGGATATTAACCCCTTATCGGATATATCATTGGTGAATAACTTCTCCCATTCAGTAGGTTGTCTTTTTGTTTTGTTGATAGTTTTCTTCACTGTGCAGAAACTTTTTAGTTTCATGTAGCTCCATTCATTTATTTTTTCTTTTGTTTCCCTTGCCTTAGGAGATATATAAAAACAAAATATTGCTAGTAGAAATGTCAGCGATTTTATTGCCTGTGTTTTCTTCTCGGGGTTTTAGGTTTCAAGTTTTACACTTAAGTCGTTACTGCATTTTAAGGTTATAATTATGTGTTATAAGGTTATAATTATAAGGTTATGTATATGGTATAGAAGGTGGTCTGGTTTCATTCATTGCATGTATCTGTCCAATTTTCCCAAAACCATTTATTGAATTGACTGTCTTTATCCCATTGTATGTTCTTGCTATATTAATTGACCATATAGGCATTGGTTCATTTCTGGGCTCTCTGTTCTGTTCCATTGATCTTTGTGTCTGTTTTTATGTCAGAACCATGCCATTTTGATTATTATGGCCTTGTAGTGTAGTTTGATATCAAAACCTCTGACTTTGTTCTTTCTCAAGATTACTCTGGCTTTGTGGGGTCTTTTGTGGTTTTATATAAATTTTTGGATTGCTAGTTCTAGTTTTGTGAAAAATGCCACTGGTATTTTGATAGGGATTGTGTGGAAACTATAGATTGCTTTAGGTATTATGGACATTTTAATAATGTTTAGTCTTCCTATCCGTGAGCATGGTATATGTTTCTATTTATTTGCATCTTTTCTTTCTTCAGTGTCTTATAATTTTCCAAGTACAGGTCTTTTACCACTTTGGTTAAATTTATTCCTAGGTATTTTATTTTATTTTGTTTCCCTTTCTAATAGTTCAGCAATTTTCAACCTTTTTCATTTCATGGCACACATAAACTAATTATTAAATTCAGCAGCACACCAAAAAATATATTTTTTGCCGATCTGACAGAAAAAAATAAGTATAATTTTGATTTATTCACACTGGATGGCTACTATGTGTTGGCTGTTGTCATTTTTTAAATTTGAAAATCTAAGGGAAAAGAGTTCAGTGCCCCTGACTCAATAGTCAGGTATTGCATGTTTTAAAATTCTTGTAGCACACTGGTTGAAAACTGCTATGATAGTTCATTATTGGTATATAAAAATGCCACTGATTTCTGAATATTTATTTGTATCCTGCTGCTTTACTGAAATTTATCAGTTGTTTTTTGGTGGAATCTTTAGGATTCTCTGTATATATAGTATCATGTCATCTGCAAATAATGACAATTTTACTTCTTCCTTTCCAGTTTGGATGCCTTTTATTTCTTCTTCTTGCCTAATTGGTGTGGCTAGAACTTCCACTACTATGCTGAATAAGAGCAGTGTCTTATTCCTGATCTTAAGGGAAATGCTTTTAGTTTTTCCCCACTGAGTGCGATTTTAGCTGTGAGTTTGTCGTATGGTTTTTATTTTGTTGAGGTATGTTCCCTCTATTCCCACTTTGCTGAGAGTTTTTATCATAAATGCATACTAGATTTTGTCAAATGCTTTTTCTGCATTATTGATATGATTATGTGATTTTTATTCTTCAGTTTGTTTATGTGGTATATCACTTTAATTGATTTGTGGATATTGTACCAACCTTGCATCCCAGGAATAAATCTCACTGTACCATGGTGTATGATCTATTTAATGTATTACTGAATTTGGTTTGCTAATATTTTGTAGAGGATATTTTGCATCCAAGTTCATTAGTGATATTGGCCTATAATTTTCTTTCTTTGTAGTATCTTTATGTGGTTTTGGAATTAAGATAATGCTGGCCTTGTAAAAAGGTTGGGAGTTTTCCCTCCTCTTGAATTTTTTTGGATTAGTTCAAGAAGGATAGGTATTACTTCTTTGAAAGTTTGGTAAAATTCACCTGTGAAGCCATCTGATCTAGGACTTTCTTTTGCTAGGAGTTTTTTGATTATGGCTTCAATTTCATTAATTATAATTGGTCTGTTCAGATTTTCTGTTTCTTCTTGATTCAGTTTTGGAAGATTGTAGATTGTATTTTTCTAGGAATTTATTAATTTCTTCCAGATTGTCCAATTTGTTGGCATATAGTTCATAATATTTTCTCATAATACTTTGTATTTCTGTGGTGTCAGTTGTTACTTCTCTTCTTTCATTTCTGATTTTATTTATTTGGGTCCTCTCTTTTTCTTGATGAGTCTGGTTAAAGGTTTATTAGTCTTTTTTAACTTTTCAAAGAACCAGCTCTTGGTTTCATTTATCTTTGTTGTTTTTTTAAGACTATTTTGTTTGTCTCCACTCTGATCTTTATTATTTCCTTTCTTCTCCCTTGGGCTTTGTTGTTCTTTTTTTGGTTGCTTTAGTTGTAAGGTAAGATTGTTTCTTTGAGATTTTTCATGTTTCTTGAGGTACGCCTATGGTGCTATGAATTTCCCTCTTAGGACTGCTTTCACTGTGTCCCATAGATTTAGAGTTGTATTCTCACTTGTCTCATGGTTTCTTTTGATTTCTTCCTTGATCTCATTGTTAACCCATTCATTGTTTGGTAGCATGTTATTTAGCCTCCATGTGTTTGTGTGTTTTTCCTTTCTCCCCCCTTGTAATTGATTTCTACTTTCATACCATTGTGGTTGTAGAGAAGACACGTGATATAGTTTCAGTCTTCTTAATTTATTGAGACTTTTGTGTCCTAACATGTGGTCTATCCTGGAAAATGTTCCATGTGCACTTGAAAAGAATGTAAACTCTGTTGCTTTGGTGTGAAATGCTCTAAAAATATCAATTAAATCCATTTGGTCTACTGTGTCATTTAAGGCTGCTGTTTCTTGTTGATTTTATGTCTAGATGATCTATTCATTGATGTCAATAGTGTGTTGAAGTCTCCACTATTACTGTATTACTGTCGGTCTCTTCTTGTATGCCCAATATTTGATTTATATATTTCAGTGCTCCTATGTTGGGTACATGGGTTATGTCTTCTTGTTGGATTAATCCCTTTATCATTATGTCTTTCTTTGTCTCTAACTATAGCCTTTGTTTTAAAATCTATTTTGTCTGATATAAGTATTGCTACCCCAGCTCTTTTTTTGTTTCCATTTGCATATCTTTTTCCATCCCTTTACTTTCAGTCTGTGTGCATCTTTTGATCTGAAGTGAGTGCCTTGTAGACAGCATATTGTAAGAGTCTTCTGTGCTTATCCATTCAGCTACCCTATGTCTTTTGATTATAGCATTTAGTCTATTTATATTTAAAGTGATTATTTATAGGTATGTACTTATTGCCATTTTATT